CCGGGTGTGCGGGCCGGCCCCGCCCCCCGCCGCTGCCACAGGCTGCTGTGCGCCGCCTGCCGCGCTGGGGGGCGCTGGAGTCACCTCCGCTCCAGGGTCCCGGCCGGGGGAGGCGCCTGAATCTGCCCCTGCCCTGGCCCAGCCCCGGGGGCGGTGTCTCAAAGCCCCGCGCCGCCTCCCGCTCGTCCCTGCCCTCCAGCAACTTGTCACTCCGCCCCCGCCAGTGTCACCTCTCTCTCCTGCTCTTGGCTAAAAGTGTAGCAGAAAGCTTGTATCCGTGGCTGCGCCACTTGTATTTTATCCTTTATACTCTTGTGGTTGATAATTCACCTTATAACTGAACGTGCTCCATTTTTAGACCTAAGTTGTACCCTGTAACAATGTTATTTAGCAAGGGCCGGAGTTGAACCGCCCTCTCCCTGCGTCAGACGGCCCTGAATGAGCGAGTGAGTCAGTAACTGAATGTGTAACACAGTAGCCAGCTTCAATTATTAACGCCTGCAAACCACAAATCAACAACAGGAAGAATCAATGAGTCACTGGTAAAGGTACAGAAGCCCCGGGTTGAACTAATCAACTGGAGACCGACTCTTGGGGCTGAAATACCCCCCATCAACTGCTCCCAGGGCCCTATTCATCACCGAAGTGAATTAATCAAAATTCATCAATGGACCCCTGAGACCGCCCGTGCTCACAGACGTGACCTCTGGGACCGACTGACAGCTGCCATCCAATGGCACCCTCTTTGACCTGACCAGCGGCCTGCCTGTCCAGCCAGAAGGACCAGCCGGCGACCCCCTTCTGAAGCAACATCCCACTGAAAGAAGCCTGGACTGGCCATCAACGGCAGACTCCAGCGCTTGGGGACAGGTATATCTTGACACAGGTGCTTAGTATTCATATCTACTGTGAATGTGTGCATGAATGTGCACGTGTTTGAGAGGATCAGCCCCAAGGTTTATGATCTGACTTTTGCATCCATTTAATAAACTAGAATTTTAAGGATCCTGAGTTGGTCCTTTGTAGCCAACAAAAGTAATGTTGTTGTTGCACATTACCAAACTGCAGGAGGGGGCAGGGAGTAGGCATGTTGGGCTGAGGACAGAGGCAGACATGGTTTTTCTGGGTAAATCCATGCTTTTGTATCCAACCCATTGGAAAACTTCTTTGCAAGCTTTCAGGTACAAATACCCTAGGTCAGGCGGAGGAAGCATCTGTAGTTGGTGTGTGCTCTTCCTGGGGTGGCAGAGGTCAGGCAGGTTTTAATGTGACATAAATCTAATATTTATATTTAGTCCATTAATTTTTGTATCCAGACTGATAAAGTGAAGTTTGGAGGCTGGTCTGTGAAAGGTGTTTTGTAAATTCCCTTTGAGGATTAGAACTGAGATTGGAGAAAGAGCAGTTGTATGTGAGAAGTGTGCCCCCACAAGTAATTGGGTATTGTTGTCTTTGTTGGATTTTCGGTGTGCATTCATTCTGGTGCACAGCTGTTGTTTGGTTTCTCCTACATATTTTCCATCAGGGCATTTAGTGCACTGGATGAGATACATTTCTAGAAGTGCAGCTGTAAGATCCAGAAATGGTGATGGTTCTCTTGTGGGGTGTGATCATTGTGGAGGTGGTGGAGATGTGTTGGCAGGTTTTACATTTCTTGTGCCAGCATGGCCTGGATCCATTCAGTGCATTTTGGGCCATAGGAAGTTTGCTTCTGGTGATGAGGTTAGTGAGGTCCAGTAGTTGTTTGAAGGCTAGGATGGGTGGCTCTGGGAAGAACTCTTTAAGAATTAGGTCTTCTTCTAGTATGGGTTGCAACTGTTTGAAGATCTTCTGTATAGACTCAAGGGAGGGATAATGTGTCATAGGTAGTGGTGTGCAATTCATGGGGGTTTCTTTCTGTACTACAGGTGGCTCTTTCAAAAGTGAGATGTGTCTCTCTGGAGGAGTGTCCTTGTTGAGTGAAGGCCCTTTTGAGATTTGTGAGGTGACGATCACAGGTGTTCTCAGTGCAAAATCAGTGCTATCGGAGGGCTTTGCTGTATATCACAGCTTTCTTAGTGTGTTTAGGGTGATTGCTGGTTCTGTGCAGATATGTATGTTGGCCTGGGGGCTTCTTGTATACAGTAGTTTGTATTTCACCATTGCAGCTAATGATCATCATGTCTAAAAATGAGATGTTGGTGCTGGAATATTCAAGGGAGGGTCTGATGGAGGGGTGATGATTGGATTTCTGATGGAAATCAACAATCAGAGATTGCAAGTTTTCAGTCCAGATGATGATGGTTGTTATTGATATATCTTAAGTATAGCATGGGTTTGATGGTGCAGTCCTTGAGGAATTCTTCTTCTAGGTGGCTATAATTAAGATACATCAACGACATCTTCATCATTTGGACTGAAAACCTGCAATCTCATGATTGTTGACTTCCATCTGAAATTCAGTCAATCATCAGCCCTCCATCAAACTCTCTCTTGAATACTCCAGCATCAACATCTCCTTTTTAGACATGGTCATTATCCAGAATGATAAAATATAGACCTGGGTGGCCAGTTACTCAGCCTGGGAGCCACATCTGATCCTCCACTAAAGTTCAAGAGCTGGATGTGGGGAAGAGGGGGACTGAGTAGCCTGGTGAGAGAGCAGGGGGGAGGGTGCCAAGTGACTCGGAGTCAAGCCCCTCCAGCTTTCATCGTGGGAAGCACGCCCCAGGGTAAGCAGTGCGGCTGCAGCCCCCTCCCCAGCAGCCTGGCGCCTGAGCCAGCAGTCCCAGGAGAAGTGGGCAGGCTTCAAAAGGTAGAGCAAGAGCTGCAAGTACTGTCCCAGCAAGCCACATGCAGCTCACAAGCCATGGTTTGTACACTGCTGATATAGACCACAATATACAAGACACCCACAGACATACATATCTACACAGAACCAGTAATCACCCTAAACACGTTAAGAAAGCTGTAATATACAGCCCAAACCCTCCAATACCACTGAATTTGCACTGAAAACATCCATGATCATCACCTCAAAACTCTCAAAAGGGCCTTCACTCAACAAGGACACTCCTCCAGAGAGAGAGATGGCACTTTTGAAAGAGTCTTATATGATTGTTTTCATAGTCTTGGACAAAATTAGATAAGCTTTGTTACTAAAAGAACTGGATAGAACAGTGGTCCCTAACCTTTTGGCTTTACAGGCCAGATGAGTGATGTGGGCTGGGTCCAGTCTGTGAGTGTGATCTGACATGCATAGGGCTATGGCTGAATCTAGCATATGTCAGATCCAGCCCTGTCTAGGATATCATATCTTGCCCCTGGCCCCAGCTCCACGTGCCCCAGATCAGGCCTCACCGCCCCAGCCCCCTGTATGCTAGATCAGGCCCCACAGTCAGGGCCGTCCCTAGGGAGGAGTGAATCGGGACTGCCCCAAGCCCTGCGCTTTAGGGGGCCCAGAAGAGCTGGGCAGAGCAGACACAGCAACTCTGCACTGCCCCCGGCTTCACATCCGGCCACTCTGCAACTCCCACCCACCACCGCCGAATCCACCACTGGCTTCCTTACATCCAGGGGCAGGGGCAGGGGCAGGGGCAGGGGCAGGGGCAGGGTCCCACACAGGCTGATTTACCCCAGACCCCACACCCTGCTTGGGTTGTTTCTGCCCACAGTGCCAACTCCAGCACTGCTTGCACTGGATCAGGCTGACTGCCCCAGCCCCAGTGGGATCCTGTGTGCAGGGCCATATCATTTGGCTCAGGTGCTTGGAAATTCGGCAGTGGGAGAGCAATGGTAACATTAATTGCCTCCACCCCCATCCACCACCAAATTCCTAGACCTTTGTGGGCCAGATGACACAGCCCTCCAGGCTGGATTTCCCTCTTGGGCTGAGGGCTGAGTATTACCTGATACAGAACAATAACATTAAAAAAAAGTATACTTGTATAGATAATAAATTCATCAAAACCGACTGTTGTACTGAAGATTTATTCAACTGACAGGAACAGTAAACTTGAAAAAATAAACCTACAAAATGGATCAATTGAAAGAAGAGTTCAGGTCAATTGAAAGAGGAGTGTTGGAGTTTCCAGTGTCCTGTATAGTAAATATGAAAAAAAAAAGAGGGGTGGAATAGATATTTCTAGTGCCATTATCTGAAGCAAAGCAGAAATGCCACAATGCGTTCTATGCAGGGCCGTCCCTGGGGGAGGGGGTGTGAATCAGGGTGACTGCCCTGGCCCGCATGCTTTGGGGGGCCCCACAGAGTGGGGCGGAGCAGCAGCTTTCCACCACCCTCCCCAATGCTGCCACCAGTGGTGGCAGCAGCAGCTTCTGCAGGTATGGGTCCTGTGGGATCGGAGCAGGGGCAGGGTCCCATATGGGCCGATTTGCCCCAGGCCCTGCACCTTGCTCAGGTCAACTCTGGTTCTATGCATGGTTAGTTTAATAGTTTTGAAAAGGGTCAAGCTGACAGTACTGGAAATTGAAATGTTTCTTTTTATCCACAGAACACACAGCACAAGCAACAATGCAAGCTTGGTTACACTCAACTTCTCTTTGACAGTCACTTTTGGAGTGAATGGTTATTCAGTCCCAGGCCTTGCTGCTCGCTTCTGTGAGAGTTACCAGTGCATTAGTGACATGGGAACACTAACCTAGTAGGAATAGGCTGGCCCTAATAAAGTAAAGATACGTGACATGAACTGGGATTACAGCATATAAAGTTAAAATGCTCCTCATGCATCTACAAACTGTTAAGTTTCAGATTCCATCTCAAGTTAATTACATAAGCTATCATTTGAACTTCTGAAATAATTCAGTAATTACAGCAGCAGCCAATACATTCCAATGCTTTTCTTCTACTAGCTCTAACAGTCAAAACTTAAGTTATATAACAGAACATATTTTTAATACAAGTACAGTTTTTATGGCATTTCACATTTGCTATCTATACGACTGCCTGAGAATCCACAGTTGCACCTGTCCTTTTACACTATCCCCAAAACACCCACATCAGCTTCATATTTCTGCATTAATACAAAGATTTTGCAATAAAACACTACAACATTAGAGTGAGGAGCCAGGCATTTCAGTTTCATCTCAGGAAATTAACCAATTTCAAAATTCTTCCTCTGCATTTAGAGTATGAGAATTCTTTAAGTTCTTTAGTTTTTCAATGGCAGAAGATATGGAAATCTCTCCGTGAACCTTGTTGTCTCTTGTTCTCACATTGACAGCATTACTTGCTTTTTCCTTTTCCCCAACCACTGCAAAAGACACATTGCATGAAAGCATTAACTGATGGGCAGGCATGTGATTTTTTAAGGAGTAAGAAATCATTAGGGGGAAAAAAAAAAAAAAAAAAATCACAAAAATTCTGGCTACTGCTTTTTATTACCATATAAAGACCCCACTACTTAAACATAAAATTCATGCTCAGATATCCATCTATCTATAATCCAATATCCATCCTTTTAATTTTTTTTAAGAAAAGCCATTTCTGCTTTTGATAACTCACTAACATCAATTAAATCTCACTGTTTACAGCATAAAATTTAGTTTACATCAAATTTACACAAAATGTTAAAGTATGTGTAATGTTCAGAACCACCAAAATGCTACAATTACCTAAAATAAAATTATATTGAGCCAGCTGTGCGTTTCTTATTTTCTTGTTTAATGTGCAACTCTGGTCTCCATCAACATCAGCCATAAATCCTGCTTCAAAAAATTCATTACATACCTAAAAGAAATTTGAAGTTTTATTAGTATTACAGTATATGTAGATGGGTAAAATACAGACTGTGACCTTGACCCTTCCCTTCCAGTGAAAGAGCTAATTTGAGGGAAGTTAAATAAAGTTAAGTGCTTGTCAGTAGTTAGGAAAGAGTTTTCCAAAGTCAACACTATTCAACATACATATCAAATAGTTGCTGACTCCAGGGAAATCACAATGCTGCATATCCAAATGTTTCTCTGACAAAAAAAGGTGATGCTTTAGACAGTTGGGGGGGGGGATAGAATAAACTAGTTTATTTTCTTAGTTTAATATATAACCTTATAATGAAACACTGGTTACCACTACTCCTGGAATGATTTTTTGTAAATGACTGAAGAAGATAAATGTTATTAAGTTACTGAAATAATTAGCAATAGAGCCCAAAATAACATTAAAGTGATCTGTGTTACAGATCACTTTCTTTAAAATATTAAATTGTCAATGCCTTCTAAAAAAAAAATGGTTTTCAACTTTGAAAAGTATACCTGCAAAATTAAATTTAAAAAAATGTTTCAGTTCCAGGACAGAATTGTAAATACTTAAAAAAAAAAAAGGGTAACTTTATTTTTTATTAATTATTGGATAATTTTGAATGCATCTTCTCTTACCTGATGGGCATATTCCTCACAAGTAGGCCCTACTGGAACAACCATGACCTGCCGAGGGGACAGCCAGAAAGGCCTGGCAAATAACAAAAATAAAAACTCATATTATATTTTTCCATTTATGCCAATACTCATATTACCCAATAAATATATTTGTAAATTACTCTGGTGTTATTTTAAATTTAATTAGACATGTAGGGTAGGAAATTATTTCTATTCAATTCTTCCTAATTCATAATGGCAAAATATAGCAATACACCATTTTTGTTTGAGTTAACTGAATAAAGTCCAAGAAATTTATTGATAAAGCTGAAGAAACATCATGAATCCAATCTTCCCTAAATATGGATATTTCAAGGGTCTCCAGACACCAGACTCGTAATTTATTGCTCTACATAATTTTCTTACATATTGTAAAAATGAAAATGAATGAATTTGTAAATAATGAAAGATGAGTGAAATGTAGCAGTTGAAATATGTATAATACATTTAGAACATGTTTTTATTTCCATGCTATTCTATATGTAGTTTTATTATAAACTCATAAAATTAAATTCATAACCTTTCATCCGAGTCCACAGTTGTGTAACACTGTTAGTCTGCAAAATCTAATAGCTACAATACCGTATTTACTCAAATCCAAGACAAGTTTTTTTCCCCCTTCATTCAACATGGGGGGGGAAAGGCCCCTCCCTCTTGGATTTTAGTATGGGGAACAGGCAGCTGCAGCAGTTCCAGCTTCAGCCCCAACCTAAACTAGAAGTTGGAGCTGCAGCCTCTGCCCCCACTGCCCTGCCCCCCTGCTTACCCCAAGTTGTGGCTCCAGATCTGACTCTAGCCCTGGGCGTGGAGCTGGCCCTTCTTCCCCCAGCCAGGAAGTAGTGGTGACAGCTCTGGCTCTGGCTCCAGCCTCAGGAAGGGGCAGGCACCTAGAGGTGCAGGCTTCAGTGAGAGCAGGTACCAAGTGGTGGGAATGGGGCACAGAGGCAAGCACTGGACTAGTGACTAGAGAGTACAGGTACTGGAGGAGCTCCCAAGGTAGGGCAAGGGGGAAGGAAGGATGTGTGTGTGTGTGTGGGGGAGGGGGTCAGGCTGCTCAACTCCCCCACTGCCTGCTTGCCTCTTTGTGCTTTCCCCATTACGGTGGTGAATAGGGGAGATGAATTTAAGATTATCCAGCAATACTTAGATCCTACATGTGGAAAACTATAACATATTTATAAATTTTCCATGTGTAGAATCTATTCAAAAAGTCATTTTGGATTTGGGTAAATACAGTATTTTTAAAATTAATCATTAATAACTAAATCTCATGACATTCAGATCTTAAATAAGACATTCTATCTCTTGCTTGTGTTACTTTTCAAAAAGTCTTGGGAAATCATTCTGCATTAATACATACAAGCTATTAGAAAGTTTCTTTAATTTACATCTAATTTCATAGTGTTTTCCAAAACCATGCTTGTGCCACATACCATTTTCCTCCATAATTTTCTGCTAGAATAGCTATCATTCTCTCCACTGAGCCCAAAATGGCTCGATGAATGATCACTGGCCTTTTCTTATCATCACTATCCTTACTACAAAGAAAGAAAAAGTTTATAAAAAAACTGTTTTAACCAGAACACAAATGATCTTACTGTATTTTCCATCTACTTATTTTTTATGCAAAAAATAAAACTAAATATTAGAAAATAATTAATACCTGGGCAAGACCCAGTAGCTGCTTCTTTTATCTGCTTTAAGACACATTTGTCATGAAACAAATTATAGTCACATTGGCTTAAAAGAATCCTGCCTGCATACAATAAGAAATGGGTGCAAATGGTTATGAAACCAGCATATTTTGCAACCTCATTCAAACTCTATGACACTAGCCTATATCTGAGGAGATAAACATATGAAAAGGTGACATTTTTATTGAGATGTGAATGACGCCCTAATCTTTTTTTGCACAGGATCTTTTCTGTTCCTGCTATTTACCATCTAAACCCTTCTGTTGAAATATTGATTTCTGTGGGGATTATCCTAGTGTGACAACTAGTTGCGACTTCAGTTAAAGAATAAGCAGCAGGATCAGAAAAGATCCTAAAGATCCTATTTCTGTTATTTATAAAACACCACCACACAGGATGAGAAGCAGTAACACAAAATTATACATAGAAAGAAATGAAAATGCTTAAGTTACTTTTCAAAGGACAAAACAGTAGTCAGATTTTTCTATCCAAGCAGGAAATGCTCTCTTAAGTTGGAAATCAAAATAAGATTTCCTCCTCCAAGAACTGCTATATGCAAATATTGTGTATAATCCACAAGGAAAATTTAGGGGACCTGAGCTGTACCTTACAGGTCTGAGTCTTGGAAGCTGCTGTGCTTCACCATGTAAACCAAATGTGCTCAGAGATGCCATCACTCCACAGTAACTGAAGTGAAAGCAAGCACCGGAGCAGCTGAACACTTTGATAATATAGGGGAATATGCTCAACTCCAACTATCCATTCAGGAGATCTTCTGCTTCCCCATGCATCTTAAACAGGGTCACAGTTTCTCCAGTAACCAACGTATCATGAAGATTCATTTAACTTCACTTCAGTGGGGTCACAAACAGCAAGAGTTGTGAAGATGTTGTATAGAAGAAGTGAAGACTGTAAGTGAAGATTTAGTTTTTGGCACAAGAATGCCAATAGAATTGGAAGAAATCAACCACTTACCCAACATATGTAAGATTAAACCTGATTGGCAGCTGGAAGTCAAGTTGGATAGTAGCACACTGATGGTATCTACCAATAGCATCTTTGATTTTGATATCAATCTGTAAAGGAAATCCCAGTGTCTCATTTACTAGCTTCAAGGTTTTAGTTACTCCACGTCTTTAGCCACAAAGTGGTATAAGAGCTAGGTTGCAGAATTATACTGATTTACTAACCTTTGGACCATAAAATGCTCCATCTCCTGGATTCAACTTCCATGGCTCTCCAAAATCATGCAAGCTGTTTTGTAGTTGCTAATTATAAACCACAAAAAACCAATTTTAAACAGTATAGATAAATCACAATTTGATTTATGTAGTACAGCTTAATAAGCCCTTCTGAGGAGGATAGGGTATAAATAATAAAACCTCTCATAACAGGAAGAGGGGTAAAGGAAGAGAGCCGCACTACTTAATTTTTGAAAGACAAAGAAGTAAATGAATAGAACCAACTCAAACCTTAGAAATAAGAACTTTATAATGAATACAGCTCAAAAAGAATTATTTTTAAAACATGGATTTGTGCATGTTTAGTCTAAGAAGAAACTAAAAGGAAAACCTCCCCCCAGCAGTCAGTTCAAGCAATAGGCCTTCACAAAAATTAGGCAATTTGTCAGCATTTCACACACCTTGACCAGCATGTTTATCACATGCAGTTTTTAAACCAGCCCTCCAATTCTGATCTATATAAGCAATCCTATTTACTTCAACTTAACTAGTCAGCACGAAGTTTGAACGATTGCAGTTCAGACAATTATTCTTTTTTGTGAATGGAAATGCTAAATCTTTGCCTGTATTACCTTTTCTGCATGGTCCCAGATTTCTATTTCCCCTAGGTAATTTTCAGGTCTTGTAGAAAGATGCAATTGGAAGGTGAAACCAAAGACAGCATAAACTGACCGCAAGAAGTTGAGACAGCCCTTCATTTCTTCCTCAATCTGAAAATTTAAGCAAAACATACTAGTTTAAAAAAAATTCAAAACACTTCCAAGAGCTGTTTGTCATTACTGTCGCTTACGTAGAGGTCAGCATGATAGATGCTACCTTCAGATTTACCTTTTTTCTTAATCAATTTATTGTCTGCCTGTCTGCTTATATATAAAAATATAAATGACAAGTCAATGAAATTGAAAAAATTGTACATTCTACAAAGCCAAGAATAGAGCTCTGGTGGCCATGAGGTAGGACAGGCAGTACTGCCTTGGTACTTTGAAAGAACAGAAGGCATGTGTGCTTCTCACATAGTATATTGATTTATTAAAGTGATCTCATTTAAATCTAAGGAAGTACTCCTGGAAAAATAATGAGCATGATTAGAGGAGTAGGACTCGACTGCTAAACAGACATTTTTTCATTAAAATTTTCCTGGTTGATTATTTAGTCCCCTGGGACTTTTCCTGGCACAAGTATTTTTAGGCAGTAAGTAAAAAAAATAAGATGGTATATAAAATATCCCCCTTGGTATACAACATCAGGCCTACTGTCAGTCAGTAACATCTCTCAAATACTCACTGCTCTTCTGTAAGATAGTAACACTTACATGAAAAGGAAAAAAAAAAAAAAAAATCAGAGAACACCAGGGGCAATTTCGGATAGAGGTGTTAAATTTAAGAGGCTTAAGCAAAAACACAGAAAGCTAAGATGAATCTTAAGGGAACAATGTAGCAAAGAACAGAAACTAATCTACAGCAATAAATCCTGCATTAAACCATATAGCAACATGTCAAGAGAAGAAGAGAAAGATTGGGAGGTTTTTTAACCTGTTCCATTGTGCAAAAGATGTGAGCATCATCCTGTTGGAAGCGCCTGACTCGCGTCAAGCCACTTAAAGTCCCTGAAAGTTCATTTCGATGAAGAACTCCAAAATCTGCCAGTCTAATAGGCATTTCCCTCCAGGATCGTGGGCGATGAGCAAACATCAAGCTAGAAGAGACCAAAAGGATAACAAACACAACCTACATTTTTTTGGCTTCTTTCACCTGTTTTTTTTATGCAAGGCCTAAGCAAGAGGTGCATTTTGAAATATACCAGCTTGGGCCAATCAATAAAGAAAAATAAGCAAAATATTTATCAGTTATATGACACTTTCCATCTACTGAACATTTGCTGTATATTTATGGATAATCTCCAAATCCATGGAAGGTAGGCAGCTATATAGTGACCTACAGAAAGACAGTGAAACTGAGGTACAGAGAACTAACCAACCAGAGACCACTTAACAAAGCCTCTATCAGAGACAGTAGTATAACTTGGTGGTATCTGGTGCCCCATCCTATGCTCCAACCTCTATGCCATGCCTACACCAAACATACAGTTTATTTAACAACAGTAAACAAGTGCGTTGCAATTAAGAATGTCTCCCCCCCAGTATGTACTTCATGACAACTGGTAACTTTTTGCCTATATATCTATATCTGTATCTAGATAGATAAATCTACCCATCTCAAAATCAAAAAGGTAAATTCTCTCAAAGAAAAGAAATACGAGAAGGATTTTATGCACTAATACAAATTAGCAATAGTACACTGAAACCAGTATTTAAGCAATGCCTCAAGAAAGTACCAAAACATAGTTAGCTTATGAGAAGAGTCTTCCACTATCAGTGGAACTGAACTGTACTCAATCCATCATCTCTTGAGGCTGGCTCTTAAGAAAGCTGTTTCCTTACTGTAAAGTAGACTGCACTCAGAAAATGCATACAATGTATGTATATTTACACTCACTTCTCTCCCTAACCTCAAAAGAATAAATAAATACTGTAAGATGATAAAGATAAAACTGTAGTGGAGTTGAAAATACAAACCAATGTCCTGGACAGTTCATGGGTTTTAGAGCAAAAGTCTCCTTCTCAACTTCAAACGAGAACATATTTTCACTGTAGTGTTGCCAGTGACCCGATGCTTCCCAGAGTTTACTATTATAGATATTGGGTGACACTACTTCAGTGAAGTTACGTCTGTGATACTCCCCCTACAAAATAAATCCAACCTTTCAAAAGCTGACACTGTGAAAAAAACTTATCACATGCTTTACAGATCCCTGAATCCTGCAACATTACTTGTATCATTTGTGTATGAAAGACAGTGAGAGCACAGATCAAGTCAATCACGTACGAATTTTGCAACAGGGACTTAGGTATTTAATAATTATATGCTGCAATATAAGAATAATTCTTCAACCTTTTTTTTGAAAAAAACTTTAGGATCAAATTATTCACTGAGTTTGTACAGAGATAACTAAGGGAAGTTTCAGTATGTGAATATGCACAAATTTTACATGCTTCCATTTTTCTGAACAGAGAGCTTAATGCCATTTTGAGATCAGTCAGTGTATTACAGATATTAAGAGCAGTCTAAGAACAACAATACATCAAAATATCTGAGAGAGAAAAAATAAATAATTATGCTATTGGAAAATATTTTAAAAGTGGTCACTTACTCGTATAAAATCTGTAAGTACATTGTAAAGGAAGGCACCTCTGGGGAGGAAAAAACAGCTTCCTGGACTCAGATCATGGAAAAAGAAAAGTTCTTGTTCCTGTGTAAATTAAAGCAGAATTCTGTAAGCCTCTCAGCTGTAGTTTTAATTGTTTTCTGTCATCCAATCACTATTATTAACTGACCGTGTTTAAAGTTCCTTGTTCAAAACAGTGAAAAATATGGCTAGCAAGAAAAAGTAGTTTACTTGCAATTCTTATTTTCAGGAAGTATGAGAGGAAATTAGAGCTCTATTTCTGAATCTGTGGTCATCCGAACACATTCCCTCAAAATTCTGAACCTGCAAGCAATTGCCACACTGGGAAACACACCCCAATCTGCCAGTGTAGGAGAACATGCATCTGGTAGGAATACACCCATCACTCACTACAAAAATGCTACTTCACTAGATTTCAGCTGTAAAATCCTACCGGACTAGGATTATGGGAAAGTACAGTCTCCATCCGAATCACATTCTGAGAAAATGGACTTAAGAGTAGGGCTCTAGAACATTTCCTTTGTAAAATCTGCTAGCAGTGTAATGGTCATTAGTTAATCTGTTTTAAAGGGGCAAGGAAGCAAGTGCCAGTTACCTATTTAACAGAGGCTCACAGTTTATCATTATACTAAGGATCAATTTATTAATGGCTTATAAAACCTTTATAGAATGACAAAGGTCCCACATGTGCATGGCAGGACACATGATTGCTGAAATCAAGGATCAGGTCCCAATCGCACTCTTTCAACCTGCCAGTACATATCAAGCCTGGGAATCAAGATCTGGGGTCCAACCAGCTCTCTCTGTTCAACAAGTTCAAAGCTGCACACCAGTAGCCTCTCATACAGGGCTGTCAGTACTCTTTCTGCAAGTGTGCAGAGGTGGGAGTTGATTGGCTCCCCCTGCTTGGCAAGTTGAACACAAGCAACATCCTACAGGGACCACAAACTCTTTGAGTGCTGGGCAGGAAGATCCAATCAATTCCCCCTGACCAGTACTTTTATCCATTTGAGGACCCTGCCCTGGCTCCAATGCCAACAATCAGCTGATTGTCAACATGGTAAGGTGGCATGTCCCATATTTAATTTAAGATACCATACAAACCAACCACAAATATGTTTTCCATTATATGTGGAACATTTGTCTGGCTGTTTTGCCATTTTAGGACACCATAAAATTTGCTGAAATGAGTGGCACATTGCCATTTATGGCACAATTAACTCATTAATCATGTCATAAGGGCAATGCCTGCCAGGGGCCCAAGAATGTTTCAGCAACATTGCCTACTTGGTAATTTTTTAATAAACACCTTTCTCCTATGCTGCCTCTTATGCTTCTTAATCACTTTCAAGGCTGCACACGTATTCTGTGTTCAGTTAAAACTAATTTCTTAAGTTTATTCAACCCTAGATTGATGAACTGTACACTTGCATTATTTTGAGAGAATTAAGTCTTGACTCATTAAAAATACACACATCTAATCCAAGAAATATTTTCCAAGGTAAAAGCTAACCTGTAAAGTGCCTAGCATTAAAATTAATAAATTGATATTGCCTGGATTCAATAAAAGGGGATTATCCCAAGTAAGTTTTATACCGATATTAGCAAAACATACATCAAGTTAACAAATCTAGTTTGCTAGATTTCAGCTGTAAAATCCAACCAACGGTTCAGCAAATTCATAAAACTGATCCCTCATTTATATGTACATAAGTTGGAACACCAAGACAGATATCGCTTAGGACAGTCCAAAAAAAGAATACATAGGAGTAGCAGAATTATGGGCATGTCTACATGTGCTTATATGTGCACATTAGCCTAACGCACATTAAGGCAATTTAGGCATGCATCTACATATGTATGTGCTAAGGTGCATTAATGCAGATATGCAGACTGATTTGGGACTAATGGTAATTTCCTACTGCAACTTAGCTTATTGGTGCATAAATTTGCTACCTGCCTTATGCAGGTATCAAATTTAGGCTTGAATAGCATAAAATCACCATTTTTAAGGCACATTAAGAGCGTGTACGTGTAGATGCGTGCCCTTAATGCACTTAAAATTAGGCTAATGCACATTATATGCATACGTGTAGATGCGCCTCATGTTAAACAAAGGAAGGCTTATGCTGAATTGCAGGAATGGATGATGGGGGGAGAAAAAAAAGCCAAACTAGGTGGATCCATTAATCCATGGAATAGCATACCTTTCCAATTTTTCTATGATCCCGGTTTTTGGCTTCTTCTTGGAATTTTTCCCATTCCTTCATCATTTTGTTATCAGGGAAGGATATTCCATAGATTCTCTGCAGTGTTTCCATGTCAGCCTTTCCTTCCCAATATGTAGAGGAATTCTGATGTTCAAAAGGAACATTTTTTAAAACAATATCATATAATCACTACTAGGGGAAAAGAACAAATACTAATGCAATCTAGTTTCTTAGGAAAGAATTGTATAAAGTTACTCAGGCTTGGTTTAAGAAAACAAGCATACCTGCACTACCTTTTGGCTGGTATACTAATGGACAGAAAATAAGTGATTGTTCTAGTCATGTCTTTGTTGTAATTTGCCACGTTAATTTTAACTTGCATTGTATCATCCTGGACTACAAAAACAATCATCACACGACTGCTGCCTACGTGCAGATTTGTGACCAGGGACTCCCAGAAATCACTGTTCTTGTCCCCACCACTACTCGTCCATAGCCACAGAACTTAATTTGTAGGAGATGTTAATATCCCTGCCAGACGCCTGCGCGTGACATCTTCTAGCATGGGGAAGTCGGTGCACAAGCAACAACCACATAAGCTTGACAGGTGGGAACCCTGAACCCAGTGGCAAAGATATTTGAGACAACCAGAGACCTCCATCCTGCTGCAGTCCTCATCCGCCTTCACAGCCACAGAGAACCAACAGGTCCTCAAATACGCCTGTTCTGCTGTTAGGGTCTTCAGGAGTTTGTACCGTGCTTAACCTGGGACCTCACCTCAGATCTGTTCACCAGGGGAGACCCTACCAGGAGTACAAGACTCCAGATGACATAGCTTTGAGAGGTGTTTGCTAGGTTTGGTTGTCCACTTAAGTTCATCAGTGTCCTCAGGCTACTCCAAGATGGGATGACTGCCAGTCCTTTGCAATGGATCAGACAGACAGACCCATTTACCATCCATACTGGTGTCAAGCAGGGCTGCATCATCACCCCAACCCTTTTTTCCATCTATCTTGGTGTGATTTTGATTCTCATCCATGACCACCTTCCTCCCAGAACTGACATTGAGTACTGAATGGATGGTCAGCTTTTCAACTTGCGGCGCCTTCACAGCAAAACAAAAGTTACCAAGACTGGCATCAGTGACTTTCAGTATACTGATGATTGTGTTACACTTGCACACAGTAGAACCGATCTGCAGTCCACCCGTGATCTTTTCTCAGGTGCCTATTGTGGCTTGGGGCTCTCCCTTAACATTGGGAAGACCAAGGTGCTCCATCAGCCTGCCCTAGCACAAGCTGCCCCACTCTGCCCACAAATTACTATTGGTAGACAGTCCCTGGAAAATGTTGAGCATTTTCCATACCTTGGCAGTCACCTCTCCCAGTCAGTCAGTCAGTCTTGATGTAGAAATTGAATTGAACATAGGATTTGCTGTGCCAGCATCTCCTTTGGAAAGCTGCTTCACCATGTCTTTGCTGACTGAGATCTGCAGATGGAAACTAAGATCCTGGGCTACAATGCAGTAGTTATTCCTAGGCTCCTCTATGGGTGACAGATGTGGGTGACATATCAAAGCCACCTTAAGCACCTGGAATGGTTTCATCAGGATTGCCTCAAAAAGATTCTTCACATTAGATGGGAAAACCACTGCACCGATTCCAGCATCCTCTCTACAGCTAACATAACCCATCACTGAAGCAGAGACTGTGACACATCAACTCCCCTCGGCTGGCCACTGTGTGTAGATGGCTGACACTCATCTCCTGAAGCAAGTCCTCTTCTCTCTACTTAGTCATGGTAAGAGGGCCTGCGGAGCACAGAGGAAGCGCTACAAGGACACCCTAAGCATACCTTAAGAAGGGTAGCATCAACCCTATAAATTGGGAAGTACTGGCTGGTAACAGATCTCAGTGTTGCTGCATCATACATCAAGCTACAACCCATTTGGAAGAGAACTGTCTGGCTCAGGAAGCCAAGAAATGGCAGAGGAGGAAGGAAAGCACACAACATCCTGGCCAACAGTTGTGCCTGCCATCCCACCCCGCAAGAGGCACCATTTGTCATATCTGTGGAAAAACTTGCAGAGCACAGATTGGACTCCTCAGCCACCTTAAAACTCAGAAGTAATACCCCCCCCAGCAGACATCACCCTCATATCAAGGGATGGCTGATGATGACTGGGTTACATCATATTATAAAAACTGAATGTAAAACAAATGTTGTAACTTCACATCATAATACAGAACAGCAATCAGAAATAGGAAGTTATTTTTACATACAGTTTTTTTCATAGTCAAATCATGCTACCTGTTTTGATGATCAAAGAGTCTAATTATTTAATGCCAAGGAAGGATTAATCTCAAGAAGGTGACAAAGCAAAGGGATCCTGAATACTTCAAAGCAGGGTATCATTGCCAATAACTTGAAGACCATTGTTATCTGTAAATGTTAACTGGCTCTTTTGTAGGTGATGGCACTTTAAAAAAGCAGTTCAGGGCAAGCATTTGTAAACTAGCAAGACTTGCCCTCAGAGGCACCTGGAAATATGTGAGAACATCAATTTGCATTTACAAAAATAAGCTTCTTGACTGCCTTTTGCAGAGATGGCTTTGAAAATTTACAAGTGATATAAACTAAGGTTTGGGAACTAGTCACTGATTTTCCCTAAAGACTATAGATTATTTATAGCCTCTTCAGAGCCATCCAAGCCTGGCCTCTAGGGTCTGGAAAAGACATACCTATAGGGCCTTTGATTATTCACTGTACATGAATTTCACTGTGCATCAGGGATAGCTACTTCAACACTGTGGGATCCATGGAGGCAACAAGAAGTGGCTGACTAAATATGGTCTTGTAGTACGCTCAGGTTCCACCCAGTTAGATGTAATCAGCTCTCCTAGCCCCAGAATCCCAGAAGGTGTCCTCGTTGCTTGTTTTAAAAAAGAAACCAAAATACTGTTTTCTGGATGTTCCCTTACACAATAATATTATTTTTCAATAAAAATTACTTGACACTATTCACATAGTTGAGAGTAATTAAGATAAAAATCAGTTAATCTCCAGTATGTCTAAGGAAGAAGAAAGTCTAGAGTTTTATTTGGAGTGAGAGATTAGGGAAAAATGTTATGGAGAACTCTGATGGTAAAGACACAAAAGAAAAAAACCCTACAGAAAAACCCATGGGTGTTGTGGGGGGTAACATTAGCTCTAATGCTTAATCCATATCTAGCCTTACCTTAAATATTTTTAAAGCCTTAATTTTTCCAGTATGTCTCACATGTGGGCCTCTGCAAAGATCAATCAATGGACCACACCTATCAAAAAACAGCAACATTTTTTATTCTAAAAGATTTGAACAATTTAAAACAGTAATAGGGCCTAAGAGATGTGACTGCCACATACAAGGTATAAATATACCTTCAATTGTTTAACTGTGCTGCACGAGATCTATTTGCAGCCATACAATAGGAAAAAAATGTTCTTGTACCTCAATTAACTTGAACAATATGAATCTTATCTAGCACTCTGCCAACAGATAACAGAGGCAGTTAGTCTGTTCAGTCATGTTAGTCTGAAATCAAGTAGAAATCAGGGTAGAGCTGCATCTTACAGACTAACCAAGATAGATGTCGATGTATAGAAAAAACAGGTAGCATAACCATTACTCCATTACTGTGTTCAAGTTCCATTTGGACAATTTATTTTATTCCTCTCACTGAAACAGGAAGCAATTTTGGAATGGAGATTTCCTCCTCTATTTCCCAATGGAGACAAGATTTGGTTTTGTAGAAGATGCATCTTGTTTTTAAGCAGAAGCTACAATTGAACAAAAGTAAAAATACTAACTGTAAATCCGGGTTCCAGTCCTGCAAATATTTACATGTACGTTTAACTTTTAAGCAGGCTAGTAAACCCATCAACTTCAGCTAGACTATGCAAATGCTTAAAATCAAGCATGAGCATAGCCTTTTGGTTAAAAAAAAATTGAACCTTTTTTAAGTCTGACATGTTAACATAGGGTAAATTTCTTTCCCCAATTTAGATAACATCTGTCACAATTCCCATGATCCCCAATTACATAAATAGAGTATAAGTAACTTACGTATCCTGTTACCTGTATATTGTGGTAGTTGGTGTGTCAACTTTTTCATTCAGGATACGACATTTAAACTTGTTATACTAGGTCAGAAAGAAAAAGAACAAAAGGGAGAACTCGAATGTCATTAAACTACAACTATGTCCTAGTATAACAGTAGCAATTGCATCTACATTGGCAAAAGCCAGGTAGCAGCTAAAGAGCAACACAATCAAATACAGCTGAGCAAGTCTGACTTTCCATCCAGAAGACAGTCATCAAACAGAAACAGCTTAATTTGACTGCATGTATAGCAATTATGCAAAGCGTTTTACTGCCAAATGCCACATTCCTATTGATTATTTTTATTTCCATATTGAAATTAGCAAGTTTTAGTGGATGAGAAACTGTTTTATGATTATTGTTCACCTATAGCATTTTTGAGGGGCCCTACTAAAAATATGCTTTTTATTCTAATAAATGTAATGTCCTGTTTTAAAGGTTTTGAAAATATATTATTCCACATGATGGCTACTCCAAGTCTTATAGCTCCTTTAAATAGTTACCTTAAACATATCTAACAGAATCTCCTTGCTGACTTCTAGTCTTTCAAACAGCTGCTTTTCTTTAATGATATTTTTACATCTGTTCTCCAGTGATGGGAATTCTGTACTAGAGACACCCCTAAACAAGAAAATGGACAAGAGTTACCGTGCCATTAAAAAACAAAAAAGGTAAGTCCATTAAGTTTGTTACCAATACTGAGAAGCCACACACAAGGCCTATGTCACCCTACCTATCAATTCAGGTTCTATATTTTGCCTGAGTATAGGCAAAATGTAGATAGAACTGAAGAGCTGCACAAAAGTGTTATACAAAGGGTAAGCACCTAAGGGCCTTAAGTCCCAGTTCCAAAATAGTTTTGGAAACTTAAGAACTAAAGTTCCAAAGACTTGCAGTGAAATTAACTCTGAAATTGCTTAAGTACTTTCGTTTATTTTCCCCAAAAGCTCTTTTTCCAAAGCTTTCAACATGTGCAAGTCTTAAGGTGCAGGATTTTTCAAGTTGTCCTTAAATGAGTTCCTTTTCCTTCCAAAAAAGTTACAAAGGGAAGACTAACTTATCATAAACCTAATGGACTAACCTACATTTGATTATGATTTATGTTTTCACATGAGGATAAAAATCTAATTTAACGTAAGTACTGAAGTAAAAACCCAAAGAAACATTACCTGTCTTCAATATACATGTCATAATAAAATCCATTCTCAATAGGTGGCCCATAGCACAAACAGCCTCCATAGTAACTCTCCATAGCTTCTCCAAGGATGTGAGCACTTGAATGCCAGTAAACCTACATGCCAAGAATAGATGTCAATGGAACAGACAATAACTTGAGCTGATAAATGCTGGTTCTAACACACAGCTGTACCATTCTAGCCCTGTTTTATTCCAGCTTGCTTGGTGATTACATGATGTAGCCATAACAATCTTTATTTTCCATTTTGTTAATTTATAAATAAGCGTGATTATGGCCATCTCAACTTTTAATTTATAAGTAAATATTAAGCATATTTACAGCAACCTGACTAACTAGTGTAAGTACCATGGAGTACATATGATTAGCTAATGACCAGAATTTCAGTAGGAGTTACCTACAATTACAGGGCACTGGATTCAGTGACTCAGGAGGTCTCTTCCAGCACCATGCCCTAAATCAGTGGTGCTTAACCTTTTCATCTAGTGGATTAAATCAGCAGTGCCAAGTCCCTCTATGGGCTGGATCAGGCCAGTGGACCCAATCCTGTGCCCAAGGCATGTGCAGTGATGTCTCATCTGGCCACAGAGACGGTGTGGGGGCAGCCCTAATCCAGCCATGCAGGGAAAGGGGCCTAGCCCAAACCCCAATTTGGCCCCATGGAAGTGAGGTATGACCCAGCTCCAATCCAGCCACAAGTGGGGAGGAAGGGGCATGACCAGACTCCATGGGAAGGAGAAATGGCCCAGCTCCATAAGGCTGGCTGGGATGAGAAGGGTACACTTCAATTTGGCCAGGTGGAAGAGAAGGGGGAGAGGTCCAGCCCCACAGCGGGGGAAAGGGGCATGGCCGAGCCCCAAACTGGCTGGGCAAAGGGAAGGGAGCATGGCCCAGTTCCAATCTGACTGTGCGCGGGGGGGGGGGGGGGGAGTAATGGCCCAGTTGCAACCTACCACACAGGGCTTGGGAGTTTGGCAGCAGGGCGGTATTAGCTGCCATTGCTCCCCAGCCTCCAAGTTTCCTGACCTGTGGGGAGCCCCGCAGGCCAGATGCCAAACTTCTGTGGGCCAATTTAACCCACAGAGCAGCGGTTAAGCACCCCTGCTTTAAATCCCTGTTATCCAAGGTCATGTAAGAATCACTTTTTCATAGTACACCTATTAGCTTTAACTGCTTTGAATGAAGGTAGGCTTTAAATCTGGAAACTCTTGTTCATATATTTAATGTTACAGTGTGATTAATCCAACTGTACTCAGTGGAACTATTCTTCAGCCTGTGCTTAAAACTTAATGCAATAAAAAGACTTAACCCCATGATAAGTTCAGCTTATACTTTATGCACATTTATAGTTGCACTGAATGGGATGCCCAGGACTGATGTGGTCTTCAGCTAAGGGAGGAGAGGCAGACTTCTTATTTTTAACGTAAATTTAGAATCTGGATGAGTTTTTAATAAAAGGACTAATTAATATACCCTCGCATAATTCTAATAGCTAAGCCCAAGAATACATACAACTGTTCCGTTTGAGTGAAATTCTTAGACATCTTAGACACAACATAAGAGAATTTTTTAAAATATCAAACAGGTTTTATGCAAATCTTATTTTCTAGTCAAGCCTATGCATTATTTTTAAAGATATTCTTTTAATCAAGCAGAACTTGATAATTTGTTTACTTACAGCCTGAGCTTCTTCATTATCAAATGTAAGCAGGTCAAGTGTGCAGTCTCCTTCCAATGGACGATCCATATCCCACAATTCACCATTCACTTTGGCTATCACTGCATTTTCTGCCAATCCTTGACTTCAGATGAAAGTAAATACACAAATCCTGAAGTTATTTGAGGCCAGATTTTTAGATGCATTTTGTTACCCAATACCTTTAAAAACTGGCTCTTTGGCCTTTACATATTTTTCAAATACCTTCCATATTTGAGGCAAAGTCAGTAAACTCTCTAGTAGCTCACTCTCCAATCATCTCCTCTAAGCTTCAGGAGTAAAGCTAAATTCTGCTTACTGTATACAATCCCTGATTGTACAGCTATTTAATATTCCACAAGATTTCAAACATCTGGGTTACTTTCTTACAGATTCATCCATTTTAAAAGCTAAAAGGGACTACTGGGATCAGAGGCTGACCTCCCTCTATAGACTTGGACAACCCAAGATGCTCACCCCATAATTTCTACATTAAGTCCAAATCTACTGAGGTATCAAGAAAGCAGGGTCAAGATAAAAAAAGTCACCCACTCTATGTCAGTGAGCTTAAGTGCTCAACTAGCAGGGGGAGGGGGAGAGAATCATACTACCATGTAGAATTCAAATATTATAAAAGCCTCAGTCTGTCTGTCTGTCTGTCTGTAATGCTTTTTTCGCACTCTGGTTGTTTCAGTCAGCCGATCTATCAGAGTGCTCCAAGAATGTCTGGACAGCAGATGGTGCAGCGGAACACTGCCGTGATGGTGGGGACAAAGGGAATGAAGCAGGGGAAGGGGCCCGACAAAAGCTGGCAGGGAGGGAGAAGAGGGAGGGGAGGGAGGGCACGGTGACGGTGCCCTGCCACAGCTGGGCCCTGCCAACAGCTGCAAGGGGAGGCAGGTGGATGCGGGCCAGGCAGATCCA